TGCAACTAAGTTATGCAAACATGCAACTAGCATACACAATGCATGAGCTAAAAAATGGCATACTCAACGCACATGACACTTAGCATACACAATGCACATAGAAACTAACATACATAATGAGATGAACAAGGCATGCACTATGCAATGATCAATCATGCGACAACATGGCATAATCAATGCAAAATGGACTTAAACCAAAATGGATGAGCCTCAGCCACACCCAAATCAGTGGCCAATAACACCAAGATAAAAGCACCGAAATGCAAAGCATGCATGCACAATGCATTGGCCAATCGAGTAGGCCAAAGAGCACAACTCTCAAGAGTGCTCGAGGAGTGATAAAAGTGGAAGTGTAACAACACTAAGTGCACTGAAATGAACTAAGAAATGATGCTAAATCATTCAAGCAACACAAGTATGACATGCTAGGTCCCTAAGGCATGGAAGCTAGCAAAGAGGACTACAAAGGGGGCATGCAATGCATTGCACAAATGCATTAACTAAGCATGGACAGAGCTCAAGTAGGTCAAAATAAGGACCCAAACATGCTGAGATGATGGCTCAAATACCTAGGCATGCAAGCATACAAGCTAATCCATAAACTAGGCAATAATGCACAACACTTAAAGGCATTCAAAGCATGAATGAAGTGAGGACATGGCAAGTCTATATGCTCTAAAATCAAGTATTAAATGATGCCAAATCATCCAAATCACTCAAAGATAGCATGCGTGAAGCATTGAAACACAAAGCTAGCAAGACCAATTGCACTATAGCTAAACGAAGCATGAGGCATATGACAAAGGCGGCCCAAAAGAGTCCTACAACATGTTAAAATGAGTCTAAAACATGTATGGATGGAAGCCAAAATGTGCTAGCATGAAGGGGCATAAGACATGGAATATGTAAGGCAAATAGGGTGAATTACACTACACCTATTAGGACCAAACATGATATGACTTAAGCATAAAAAATCAGAGTTATATTAGGGCAAAATAACCCCGAATAATCACTGAAATGATGGCTCACAAGCTATGGCATGAATGCATACACAATGGCTCACGTTAAGGCATAAAGGACCAACCCTCCAACGTATTGATTGAGTGACAAACGTGAATGTATGACCATGAAAAATGGACTGAAATCACATTATGAATGATGCCAAATCATTGAAATAAGCCAAGTAGAGCATGCTAGATGACTCAATAGACAAAGCTTACAAGCAAGATTGAACCAAAGCCATGCAAAACAAGTCATGGAGGGCCTAGAAAACTAAAATCAGACCTCAAGCATACCAAAACATGGATAAATCTTCTTGAAGTCAAGCCAAAAGCATGCTAAAAAGACATGTCACAACACGACGCATGTTAGGCTATTTCATGGGATTGCATGGCAAGTGTATGGAGCATGCAAAGGCTATCCAAACCAAACCTAAACAGAGGTCTGACATGATAAAATAAGCCCAAGAACATGCTGAAATGGACACAACATAGGCTAAAATGACATGCCACTTCAAGGAGCATACAAGGCTAGTGTGTGTGATTTACACTATAAGTGTATAAGGCATGTAAGAGCCAAACAAACCAAGCAAAAAAAGATCTAAGGCATGTTAAAACTACACCAAAAATCTACTGAGATGGCCCAAAAATAAGCTAGAAACACATGCTCAAACATGAGGCATACAAGACTAGATTGTGTGATTTACACTACAAGTGTATTAACCATGCAAGGGGTGACCAAACTAAGCAAAAACAGTGGCATGCCTTAGCAAAATAACTACAAATACAAGCTAAGACATGGCCAACACACACTTACCAAAGGTGATCAAACATGAGGCAAATAAAGCTTGTATTGAAGACACAAAGGAGAGGGGATGGCCTTCTCCTTCTTAGGACCTTAAAACACCATCCCCACCGCTGGCCAATACAAGGTGGTCCTGAAGCTCATAAAAGAGGCACAAAAACAAGGCCAAACAAGGCCTAAAAGGGGGTAAACAACCCCAAACGAAAACTCCAAAAACAACTCCTAGGTGCCTCAGCAACAAAAAGATGATGTTTGGATAGAAGGTTGTGTGCACAAAAGTGTGAAGAATGGTCACTTTAAGGTACAAAACAAGAGGGAAATGGAGGATTATAGATATAGATGATATGTATAGCTCAAGCCCAAAAAATCTGAACCCTAAGAAGGGAGAGAGGCCTTCCATTTTGTAGAGAAACAACTCTCAAGCCTCTTGGACAAGCTAAGAGCTTGTTTAAATCCCTCCATACACGTGTATGGAGGATGCAGTCTGTGCCCTCCTGCGGGCACAGTTGGCATCCACAGACTTTGCAAAATCTGTAGGAAGGCCGCCGACCAGAAAAAGTGGTCGGTGTGCTACTTTTTCTGGTTAGCCAACCACTTTTTCTGGTTTTCCAAAAAAAAAGTGGTCGGCCAGGGTAATTGGTGGTCTCCACACTGAAAAAAAGGCAGTGGTGTGGTGGAAAACCAGCAAATGTGGCCCAAAGACCAAGAAAACCAATTTCCCAACCAGAAAATCGGCTGGCGGGGAGAGAAGTGGTCCCCAAGGATAAAAGCTAATTTGCAGGGGGAATTGGTGGCCTTCACACTGAAAGAAAGCCAATGGCGTGGTGGGAAACCAGCAAATGTGGCCCAAAGACCAAGAAAACCAGTTTCCCAACCAGAAAATCGGCTGGCGGGGTGAGAAGTGGTTTCCCAGGATAAAAGCTGGTTTCCTACCCTTGTACCACCTTCCAAACAAGGAAAACAAGGTTTGTGCCAAGAACGAACCAACACGGATGTAAAACGAGAATTCGGGAGGCAAAGCGCACGGTCGGGTGCCTCGAAAACTGGCTGTTGAGCACAAAAAGTGGCGTATGACCACAAAAGTGGTCTCCCAGACCACAATGTTCCTCTAGACAGAGGAAACAAGGTGTGTTCCAAAAACCGTGCCAAACGGAGAATGTTAAACGGTCCCGAGCTGAGGCGCACAGCCGACGGCTCTGAAAAACCAGAAACTAGTCTCCAAATGGGAACAGTGGCCTACAACCACGAAAAGTAGCCTACGACCACTGAGAGATGATCTACAAGACCTCTTCCTCCCTCCAGGAAGAGAAAACAAAACTTGGTCGGCGGACCAAGTCAAAGTAGGAAGGGTCCCGAGGTCCGGAGGCGGGACTCTCAGCCAAAAACTCCGAACCCTCGAAACGAGCACGGCATGCACAATCACCGAGCACTCAGTCGATGATATCTGAGTCTTAAGGTCGGTCAAAAATGGGGTGTCTACAGTTGCCCCTCTTTGACAGAACTCAGAAGTCAAGAAGTGACGGGAGTGAATGTCAAAGCCTAGAGACGACCCATTTTTGACAAGGCCGAGGACTTGGACAAACAAACAAAGCACAGATAAATAAATGGAATCAAACCAACGTAGTTCAGGGGCAGGATGCAAAATGTTATGCAGGAAGATTTTGATAATTGGACTTATACGCTGCGCGACGCCAATTTGATAATTGAACTTACACGCTACGCGAAGCCAGTTTGAAAATTGGACTTATACGCTACATGAAGCCGGTATGAAAATTGGACTTATACGCCACGGAAAGCCGGTTTGATAATTGGACTTATACGCTATGCGAAATTGGTTTGAAAATTCAGGATTTATGCAATGCAATGTAATGAAACAATGCAAATGATATATAATGTATCGAAATAATCAAACCCCAAGTAGTGCAAAACCACACAAATATCATAAAGGGATGGAGATGCAAAATCAAACTACGTGTAACATAGAAAAGGTGCCGGAGCGCCCTAACCACAACTCTCTTAGTGGAATAGGTGCATGCACAGACAGAACTATGCATTTCGTAGAAAGAATACAAGTAATTGGGTGGCATGATATAAGTGAGGAATGATCTACTAAGGAAAGATCATGATCCTACATGTTCAATGCGACAAACTACAATGTAATAAAGACGACCTAGACAGGACTGTGGCATCTGGGTTATCACCCCCAGGAGTACCGGACTCAGACTCAGACGAGCTAGAACCTGATTCTGACTCAACAGATTCGGTGGAATCAGACTCCGGCTCACTACCTGACTCGGTGCTGCTTGACAAAAATCCCTCCTCGTACTGCCAGATGAGAGAGGGTGCGATGGATGCATCCAAAATGTTTGAAGGTAGGCTCACAACCGTTTCATTCCCAATCATGGACACTGAGAAGTTATCCCCCAAGCACTTCTGTACGATCGGAGGATCTAAAAGTAGACAAGCCAGTGCTACCCCCATTTCATTTTCAGCGTTCCCGGAATCCACATTTTTACACTGCTCAACCTCAACTGATGGGTCTGTCTGCTCCTTGGCAACATCATCCCCGGATAACTGCAGGTCGAAGAAGATCTCAAATCCTGGCACGCGCTTCCTCTCCGCGTTCAACCATGGTTCTGGGAAGCCGCAGAATGGAAAATCTTCCCCCTTCCGGACGAAGGCATAGCTCAGCTCCTATTCCTAATGCAATATTGAACCTGCTGCCATGTCATGATCCTTGCTCCATTTAGCAGCAACTAAAAGTGATAACTCAGAGCCCACCCAGCAACAGGGCAGCCTTCTTATAAGCCCAGAGAACTCGAGGCCAATCCACAGCAATAGACAACAATATCACCAACCTCAAGGCCACACTCCAAAACAGCATGTCAATTTAGTATCAGTTAGGTAAAACAGCATGTAAATCCAAATCTTTTAGAAGAAAAATTCCAATAAATATTAGAAAATATAAAGTAATTAGTTTGTAGGTAATAACATTTCTATGAGGGAGAAAAAAGAAAAATTTTAGACTTAAATTCATATACAACAAATTAGATATTAGCATATTCCTATCGATGTGTATTTTTAATAGAAGCCACTGAAGTCAAGGAGCATTTAACCAAAAAATAACATGATATGCAAAACTTCTGCACCTGCTTTCACTTTTTCTCCTTTCTCCCCCCCTAAGGTTAGGCTCCAAACCTTCAACCCAATGCTTTTTGAAAAGGCAGAAGGATAACAATTTCTCATTTGCAAAATTCAAGAATAGGAACATTGTTACAGTTGAAAGTTAATCATGTCACATAACAAACAGAGGCTTGGTTTCAAAAAATTAAGCCTTAACATGCCTAAGAAAGTTAATCAAAACTAACAAGTAAATGACAACAACATACTGACAGTCTAGCAAGCGCAATGATTTCAGCTTATGGATGACATATAAGTGGTAATTTGGCTTCTTTGTGATATTATTATCAAGAAGACTAAGAAACTGCAGCTTAGGGAGTGATGCAAGAGGATCAATCTCAACCAAATTCGTTAGTTGATTGTTAGTGAGAACCAAAGTATGCAACTTGGGCAAGAACTCTGCAAATCCACAAAACAGAACATATTTGAATGATTGTAATTGCATAAGCATGTCACCTGCTTTGAGTGTATGAGAATTTTGTCAAACTCCCTCTTCTCAGCAAACGCAGTAACAACTTTTGGAGTCACTCTTGCTTTAATGTAAATTTTCAGTGCAAGGTCATTATCCACTGTCTGCAATAGAAACAGGATTCATTACATCAGAAATTCCAATAGAACAGATCTGATAAATAATATAGAACAAGCGACTTTGGGAAATTATTTTCATTTCAGGTAAATTTTTGTAAGTATAGTTTAAACAATGAGTAAATTTGAAACAGAGAGATTAAAAATAAAGGATTACAGAAAAGTTTTGTATAAGAACTATAGCACAATAAACATCATGAAAAGTTCAATCCTCCAAATCAAACCTTCACAAGATCTCCAAGCTCCTCGCTACATTCAAGTTTGTCCTCTGCCAACCAATTCTCCAAAAGATTCTTTTTGTTCTGATTTACAAAAAGGCGAGATAGTTCCAATGACTCAAAAGCATTGAGCTTTCCCCTAGTTAAAAGAGTTCCAAAGTACTGCAGCAAAGGAGGTGTTTGCCCAGCTTGCATTGGAACACTCTGCAAAGCATAAAGAGTAAATGAGGGCCTTGACATTTACACCTTCTGAAGACAAATGGTTAGGGCTGATATCATGTTAATAAAACCTGAAATTTAGCAACAGTGTCAGAAGTGCGCAGAATTCCCTGCGGTGACTCTACAGCAAGTTCCGCAGCCTCCTTATACTTCCTCCTCCCAACCAACCCATCATCTGTAATTGAATTAATGCCTGCCAAAATTTTGGATTGCTGGGCTCGCATTTTTTCCTGCATATCAAAATTTGGATTCCTGGGCTCAGTTTTAATTGAATTAAAAGCCAACACCAACTTTGGTGTCATGAAGCCTAGCTTAGAAGTGAGGCTTGAATTTGGTCTATTGAAGCCTCTACCATATGCTGCCACGTGGAATTTAAGTAATTTGAAAAAAAAAAAATAGATCCCATGTTTTCCACTTTCTTCCTTAATCAACTACCCAATACTCAATTGGTGAGAAACGGTTTTGATTTCCGTCTCTCTCACACACAAAAACACAAACACATCAGCGATCTCTCTCTCCGTTTCTTCTTCATGTTTTTTCGTCTGCACTTTCTGTTTGTTTCTTAGCAAAATTTGTCGCCTGTTTCGTTCCTTCTGGGTGTTCTTTGATGGTTGTTGTTCTACATATTTGACTCTCTCTCTTCCATTACTCTCATTTGTGGGTATACAAAGAGAATTTTAGAGAGAGAGAGAGAGAGAGAGATGAAGATAGAGAAATATGGACGCGAATAAGCAAATGGGTTCTCCTTCATCTTCCTCATTCACTTCTGATCTTTTTAGTTCCAAGGAGTCCTCTTCTTCATCATCTTTTGGAATTTTTGGGTCTATCTTTGAGCCTTCTTCCAAGGTATTCATTCCCTTTTCCCACCACTTTGAATTGTGGACATTTGGCGAGTTCTTATCTTTTCAGTTCCAAGGAGTCCTCTGCTTCATCATCTTTTGGAATTTTTGGGTCTATCTTTGAGCCTTCTTCCAAGGCATTCATTCCCTTTTCCCACCACTTTGAATTGTGGACATTTGGCGAGTTCTTTGCATTTTCTTTGAATTATTTGATTCAATTTTAGTTTTATGGTATTGGGTTTTGTGCATTTTTCTCTGAGTTTTGTTAATGGCATCAGTTATTGTGGTTCTGTTCTTCTGTGGATTTGTTATTTTGAAACTTTTTGAAGACTTTGAAGGTTGTGTGTCAGGTTCTTACTGTGAATTTTTAATGGGTTTTTGTGTAACTTCATCAAATTGCGTAATAGGCCATGCCGATTAAAGAGAACTATATACAATTTGATGTAATATATGGGTTTTTCCTGAACCTCACCATATTTGTGTAAAGACACAATTGGGTATTTTTCAGTCAGTCAAGAAAAGAAATAGGAAATCAAAGTAAAATCTTGCAACAGAACCTGTTAAGTGAAGCTCTTAAAGCTTTTCTCACCTGTAAATTATATATTTAAAAAAAAAATTATTAAATCTCAACTGCCCTACACGTTCTGCTCCCTCACATTTTATTATTTCAAAACAAATAGGATAAATTATAAGCACAGCTGTGTTTTACTTAAATTATAAATTATCTCATATAATTCTAAAAATTATATTATATCTTTTAAGATTTTTAATTTCATAAAAGATAGTTCTCTTATTAATAAATTATCAAGCTAATTAACAGTTTTTAACAATATTAAAATTTTATTTCAATTAATAATTTAGATAATTTTATTATTGTATAGATGAACAGTTAGAAATTTTACTTTTTTCAATTAATTCTGTTAAATGAAAATTTCTGACACAGAAATATTTGTAATTTTCTAAACCATATGGGGCAATTCGTATTTATTTTTTATCCCTAAAAATTATGTTGGCCCAAATTATTGTTTTATATGTTTATAAACTTATTTGTATTACCTCCAATTTTTGCCTTTGCTGGTATCATTGACGTAGAATACTTGTCTTACCTGACAAGGTAGAACAAATTGGTCATCTTCATACCAAAGTCTTGTAACATCAATACTTGTGACATGTTCATCGGAGTATATTCTATTCTTGTGACCGGTGTCATACCATTCACATTGGAACAAAACCACTGTACCCCCATGCAAGTATTTCAATTCCCATATTTTGCACAAGTAGCCGTAAAAATTAATTTGGTTCCCATTATGGTCCCCTTCTACGACCAACCCACTATTTTGGCAGGTACGACGATTTTCACGGTTTCTAGTATGGAATCGAATTCCATTGTAGATGCACCCAGAATAAAAGTCAATTACCGATCCAGGCCCATTTGCTAATGACCACAATTCGTCAGTTGCTTCAGGTGACCCTTTCGTTCGCAAATCATTCATCTACATAAAACACCATATGACAAGTGTACTAAGTTAATGTGAATTGAAAGTTTCAACAATTGTATTCAGTTATTTTCTTTACTATATCTTACACGATTTTTGAACCATTTTGGAAATTCTTCCCGTTGTACCCGACTTATGTCACGTCCTTGTACATTATGTAAAATATTCTTCTGCTCCCTACCCAAGGAAATGTGATATACGTAATTAACTTTGAGAGTTCGAAACAAAATGGAACGATTATGCATAAACGTAATTAAACTTAAATACATACTCAATATATGGCTCCACCTCAGAGCTATTGTACAACACAAACCAGTGAGCCATTTCTCGTTCATTTTGCGAAGGGTCAAGAGCCCTTGTGATAGGTGAGAATAGACGAGCATTTTGGGTAAAGACCTCCATCCCGGGACCACGTTCACCACCATCATCATTTCGTTCAGGTTTATCAATCCCTTTTAAGTACATTGAACAAAAAGTAAGACACTCTTTGACAATGTAAGCCTCAGCGATAGAACCTTCTGGACGTGCTCTATTACTGACATACCCTTTCAAAGTCCCGAGAAACCTTCAACAAAAATTGACAATGAAAATTATGCTTCTTGATGCAAGAAAATTACTTATTAAACAATAGTCTTTTATGGGTGGATTTTTGCACAATAGTTTAGTTATAACAAATTAATAAATAACCATATATTCATAATGATTACCTTTCGATCGGGTACATCCATCGATATTGCACCGGTCCAGCAAACATGGCCTCACGGGGCAAGTGTCGTCGCCAAAAGTAGTTGCCAAAAGTGCAATTTCTTGTAGTGATTTTTGATCTTCTAATTCTTGTATAAGCTCAGTACTGATTCTGATTTTAATCCCAAGTTCTTCATCTAAAGGCATACAATTTTGATTTTTTTTTTAAAAAATTCTTTTATGAACAATATTTCCTTAATATTTCTACTTGGGTTGCTCTTCTTGTATTCTAAAATTCTTTTCTATGGCAAAACTATTTTTAGGCAATGTCTGTTTTTATTACATGTACTCCCACCTTGAAGCTAAGCTTCGTTCAACATCGTATATTTTTATTTTTCATTTTTTACCTTTCCCTTTCTGCCTACAATTTGCCCTCTAACGCCTAACCACGGCTCAGACGGGCTCTTCAGCTAAGGTCACTCAATAACAAAATAGAAAACAGCAGATACTACGAAAGTTCAAAGCATGTAATATTAATGAGTAAACAAGCGTTCCATAAACTTAGTTTTTTCAAAAAGAAAATAAATTTTTAGAATAGAAGAGTTGCCCTTTTGAAATATTTAAGGAAAAAGAGAAACTACTCACACTTCATATTTATAAGAAATATACTTACAAAGATTATATTACAGACTCTGAGATTCTAAAACACTAAGTACACTTAGAGGTTTTTGAGAGTGAAGGGGTATTTTTCATTCTGTCTCTTTCGTTGGCAAGCATGCCAATTTATACAATACAAAAGGAAGATGAAAACAAAATTCCAAATCAAAGCTTGACGTCCAAACTTTTCCAACTTTTCCTAAATTCAAAACCTACTCAAGCCTAGACTTAGGCTTTCCTAATAAAGACAAAACTATATGTATACAATTATATGCCTACTTTGACAAGCTTTTTACGAATAAAAATAAAATAGAGGGTTTAGATAATGATGCTGGGTACTGCTTTGGGCCCCATCGCACATCATTCAATCCTCCTTTTTTGACACTATAATTTATTACAGGACACGTGTAAGGATTCTCACAGCTTTTTTTTAATAAAACAGGGTAGGGGTTATCTGTTTTATTAAAGTAGTGAGTGAAGGAGAAGCCTTATGACTGACAGACTCAAATAATTACAGACACAAATATCTACAGAATCTTTTGTCTTTTCTTGGCGTGCATTTTTCTGATAATTGAAGAGAAGCCTTATCTCCTACGGATTTTGTCTTCTTCTGCTGGAGTGCCAATTAGTGACGCTTGGAGGCTGGAATTTCAAGGCGGATTCTTTACGGAAGATTTGCAAAATTTGAAGAGTCAAGAATCTTGGAAATATTTTCAATCAATTGTATGAGTCTTAATTTTGAAGTGCCACCTTGTGTGGGTTGTGTTTTATTTTGGGATATATAGCATTGTGGACACGCTTACAACTCAAGCAACTTATATCATAATTAATACTGAAGAAATATCAAATTCGTGGGATAGTTAAAAATTGTTTATATTTTTATAACAATGCTAGGACCCCCAGTGGGGGGTGATCTCAGCACCCCCCACCTCCATGTAGGGGGTTGTGACAGCAAGACTAAAAAACAAAAAAAAATTTGAGTCAATCAAAAAATAGTGGGGGTGGTGGGGGTCACCCCCACTGAGGGTCTAAGCTATTTCTGATATTTTTATAGTGATGTAATTTTACTATATGTATGGTGTAAATTCTCTATTGTGGTGTTTGTTTTAAGGGATTAAGGGGTGAGATTGGATTATTAGTTCATAAGAATTAATAGTCCGTTGTTTGATTTAAAATTTTGGATGTTTGAGATGTCCTAAATAAGTGCACTTTTTGAATTTTTGAACTAAAAAATTGAGAAAAAAATATGATTGTTTGGGATAACTTTTTGATTTTTTACAAAAAAAAATGTGTATTAAAATATTATATAAAATAACAAAATTACCATTTTTCCCTAAATATATAATTGCCTACTGACAATGATGGTACCGTCATGCATACAGTTGGCAGCAAGATGTATAGGATCAGATTGTCTACGGTGTTGTTTGGACTGGACGGTATTGTTCAACCCATAGGGACCCGCCATGGGTCCTGTTTTGATAATTGAAATTATTCAATGTGTAAAACTCGTCGAGTATTATATTCTTATAAAAAATCACGTTGATCGAATATCGATAGCTATCTGATCGGATTAGTTTTTTGTCAAGTGTTACTTTGTACACCGTTCTTTTTTTATACAAAACTGATTTGATCATATAGTTATCGATATCCAATCAACATGATTTTTTACAAGCATGTAGTACTCGACGAGTTCTACACATTGACGGTTCAGATTATCAAAACGGGACCCGTGATGGGCCCCCACGGGCCAAACAGTGATAACTTTATGACTTGTACTTTTTTTATACCAGTAGCACTGCAGACAGCAGCACATCACTTCAGACCATCATTTTGACTTGTAATTTTTTTTTGTAAATTTAAGTAGTCTCAATTTAAAAATAAAATAATTTTATTTAATTTTTATTGATGTTTTATTTATTTAATTTTTTATAAATATTTTATTGATATTTTATTTAATTTCATTATTTAAATTTTAATAGATGTTTTCTTTAATTTCATTATTTAATTATTATTATTTTTTAAAATAAATTTATTTAAAATTTTAATTAAAAAATAACATATATTTTTATTTATATTTTATTTATTTAATTTTTAAAAAATAAATTTATTTAATTGTGTAAAAATAAAATAAAATAAATTTTTATTTAATCCAGTTAAAAATAATTAAAATATTAAAGATATGTTTAAGATTGCTATTACTTAGTAAATAATTGAAAAAGGTAAATAGTCATTTGAACATTTATCCTTCTCCATAATATCTCAAACAAACATAGGATTCATATCATATCCTATCAAATAGTCTTTTTCTGACATCTAATCTCGTGATTAAATAAACATATGATACAAATCCAGTCCAATCAAATAGTTCGAGGACAATGTATCCCAAAACTAACAGTCCGGTGGATTTTAATCCCCATTTATCCAGTCTATTCAAACAAACACACCCTATGGGTATGGTGCAAGTGTTTTCTATGTGTCAGAATTGTACTATAAATTCATTTCATCTCTAGTATAATAATTTTTCCACTGTTATATGTTTTTGCAATTTCTCCATTAATATTTCATTAAGGGCATCTCTAATCTTTGATATTTCTCTTATCAAATTTAAATTTGATGAAAAAATATTTAAAAGTCATCTCCAATCCTTTCATCAAATGTTCATCAAATCAAGGGAGATTCATTTTTTTTATTTTTTTTATCAAATTAGAAACTCATCAAATCCTTTATCAAATTTGAATTTGATGAAAACTTAAAAAGATGAAACATTGAAGATGATTTTTTTCATCAAATTTGACATAAAAAATTTGAGATAAAAGGAGGATTTTTAAAAAGAATTTGATAAAATGATTGGAATAATTCATATCAAACCAAACTTTTTACTCAAATTTAAAATCAAATTAGATGAAAATTTTGATAAATTATTGAAGATGGTCTAAGTCATAACTAATATCACAATGCATATAACTAAGTCATTACTAACATCATAATAGATCATAACCGAATATTACAAGCATCGTAACTAAGGTGTGTATCATAGAATTTCTCAAAAAAAATTATTAAAAATTTCATTATGTGATATTTTGACAACTATAAAATCGTAACCTATATTAATCGAGTTACTTCTTATTTCTCAACTTGCTAGCAATGTTTTTTCATTGAGCCATTAGTATAGATCACTACATAAATAATATCACATAATATTTCAAAAGTATTCAATAAGAGAAATTCTATATGCACCTTTAGTTATTACTACTAAATAATTAAAATATGATATATATAATTTTAAAGATGTTCTCGATCAAGTCAACAAAGTTCTTACTCCATTAAATACACCAACAATCCAAGATTTACAAAATGGATTCGCAATCTCAAAATTGATGTTCAAAATCTACAATCTCGTGTCCTTGTTTTAGAAGAAAATCTTGGTGATACTGATGATTTTCTTGTTGATATGTCATTTTTTCCTGTGTCGTGAGAACATTAATACTTAGACCATTCATTTCTAAAATAGCTTTATAATAATCAATTGTTGATTGGCACGGGCAATCGTGTGATTCTTCAGGATGGTTTTCTGGTTTGTCATTAGAGGAAGTAATAATATCATTATCAATTTCATTAAGTTGGAATTCATTATCAGAAGGATTGTCTAAAGAATATTCAGATTCGGGTTGGGGTTGGGGTTGGGGTTCTTTATCCAGAAGAACAAAGGATTCTAATTGGTTTTTGAATTCATCTGAGACATCAAGTTCATGTATTTTCTTTTTAGTAAGACATTTATTTGCATAGTGGCCAGATTTGCCACACTTTCAACACTTAGCAAATTTCTTAGAATAGCTTGATTTGGGCTTACATGTTAATGTATTTTTTGTGTTAAGAAATTTTTTTCTTTTTGTAGTCTGAAGATTTGTTGTATTATTTTTTAGTGCAAGATTTGCAAATAGGGGTTCTTTAGGAAGAAGAAGATCCAAATACTAGAGGGAGGATGGAATTGTATCCAAACTGATAACAAAATTGATCAAGTTCGGTTCGGCCAGTAGAGCATTTGTCTTTTAATTAATTTTTGAGTTTTATATCATTGCATAATGATTAAACCAAAATACAAAATAAAAGAAAACTTATAATGAGTCACAATCGTGGAAGCAGATTAGACACAGCTAAGCACTAAGTACATTGACACTCTAAGCACATAACACTCTAAGCACATTGACACTCATAACTATTCACTAAGTACA